TGTAATAATAATGGATGCAAGTGGATGCATCAAACTAAACACCGACATATATGGCGAAGCCGCGAAATGAATTCGCGACACAAAACCGTACAACTTGAGAAGTGCGAAATTTTATATGCGTTTACGTTTTTGATAATAGTTTGCGAAATATAGCTTTGTTTACATTCATTCCTGTAAAAATATATTGTGTTAAAGGACTTTGGATCAAAGACAACCAATATTTAAATATATTTTAATAAAATGTTGACAATTCTCGTTCGTGTGAACATTTTGACTGATGTACTCGCATCAGTTGCATCAGTCTGCATCCGCGCCTGTTCAATCTATGTACTCAAGCTTATCAGTTGCTGCTATTTTCATGACAAATCATGTACTCCAGGTGATTTGCAATCAGGAGTAATACAACATGGATAAATCAAATAAGTCGATTAGGCTGACAATATTTGGTCACTCAATAGGCACCGGCCAATGATAAAAACAGGGCCTTTTTCTGCTTTATGCAGACTTTACAATAATTAGGCAATTCTGGGATCTAAAAGCTAGACCCATAGATCCCATGCACTACCAGCAACAAAATTGAGTTACTAGTTCATTTTATTATTGGTGTAGCCCGCGTGCAGTCCCGGTCAAGGGAAGAATAGTGGGCCTGCAAGCAAGGCCCGTTATTATATAATTAGATCAGTGATTCATCACAAAGGCTCTCGATAAGCTTAAAATTCGAAAATTGATCACCTTTTTCGATTAAAAATGGAACAAGGACAGACTGTTTATTGTTTACTTGAAGGAAGAGATGTTTTTGCCGTTATGCCAATGGGGATTGCTTGTTGTGAAATGTTGGAATAGCAACATTAGTGTCATAACGACTGGGGTGAACTATAGTAACCTTTACCCGAGATTCATTAATTTCAAACAGACTTGATACGTTATATTTTCCTCAAGAAAATTATCTTTTGGTTGATGTTGAATCTGTTCTTGCACTGAAGAAAACAGCGCTTTTCGCGGTGAAGATTTAGAGGCAGTTGCATGTAAGCCTATTCGGAACACTTTGCGATTTGGAAGGCTTCGTTGAGAGAGCGAAATAGAACATGGCCAGAAATGGAGGACATCAAGCGGTCAGGCGTGCGGGCTCATGTTTTCTTGATAATTCAGTGCACTATACAGATCAGTGGTTCAGTTTGGCCAATACAAAATGGCTGTTTATTTAGTTAGTAATTTTTACTAGTATAGCTCAGTGAGTTTTACCGAGAATTAATCTGAGCACGGCAGATTTGTAAATTGAAAATACGAAGAGATAAGCTAATGAATGGCTTTCAACACAAAATTTCCATTGCAAACAAGTATGCATACAGAGGCGTAGCCAGGGCTGGGGCCGGGGGCCCGTCCCCCCTGGCAAAAGTTTGCCCCCCCCTGATAAAATATATTGTATAAAAAAGGGAATTCTTGATTATATAGCTTCATGCTGTCAATAATGCGAAAATTCTGTAGAATATATGCTTTGCTGCGCATCAGTGTGAAACCTAAAATCTTGTTCGCTTATTTGCGGCACACAGCTTGGAACACATACCTTTTCGACCCTAATTATTTCAATATGTATTAAATAACGGTTAGATGAAGTTTTAACCAATCTGATTTTTACCAGTGAATTTTTAACGCGGGCTCGGTTTAAAAAAACATTTCAATTGCAAATTTTTCAAATCTCAATTGCAAATCTTTACGAAATATGTATGCGTTATCACAATCTTCATAAACAAGTGGATCAAGTTTTCAGCAACTTCTCCCACAATCAAGAACTTTGCTACATCAGTACCCTAAGAAAAGGCAAAGGAATCGAGAAAGATCTTTCCAAAGCACATGGTACAATGCTTTTTCTTGGCTGGAGTATTTCAAAGATGCAGATTCTTATTTTTTCTATCCTTGTCAAATGTTTGCAAAAGATTCCACAAAAGAAAAAGCATTTATAGAGAGTGGATTCTCAAACTGGAAGACGGCCATGGAAAGTGGGAAAGGATATAAAAAATATGAGCAGTCAGAGGTTCATATGAGAGCAATGGCATCTTGGAAAGAGAAAGAGTTTCGTGAGAAACGTGGTCAGACGGTACGAAACCTTATCCAAGTCAGGCCAGAACACAAGATATGGCTGAAAACAGTATTCAACACTACCAAATACCTGGTTGCTAACGGTCTTAGCTTTCGCGGACACGAAGAAAACTCGACGTTAGAAGAGGGCCTGTCAGGAGGCGTCTATTTAAATACATTCTCTGATCTTATTTTTCCTCAAGATCCTCATTTGCAACAAATAGCAAAGAATCTTCCAACCAATGCAAAGTGTACCTCACCAGAAATACAATATGAGGTAATAGAAACCCTAGCAGAGATTGGGAGAGAGACAGTCGCCAACGAGTGCAAAGAAGCAGAGTTATTCACCCTAATGATGGATGGAACTACTGATAGCAGTCAGAGGTACAGTATTAACCTTACAAACTTAAATAACTTGCAGGTTAACTCCTGTAGTAGTGTTTGTTACTGTAGTATTTAATTCTGGTCATATCACAACAATATTTAGTGAAATAGAAGGTGTTGCTTTGAGATATTGGAACAACAGCAAAGGAGGTATTGTGGAACACGTGGTCGATGTCAAGTTGGCAGAAGACAGGTCTGCAAAGGGTCTTGTGGACATCGCTACAACAACTCTAGAGGACGAGGGTGAAATATCAATGGATGGACTAGTTTCCAATATTTTGATGGGGCTATTGTCATGTCTGGGACAAAAGGTGAGTGTTGATGAGTTATCATTGACGTCTATAAATTAGCATATTATTCTACTTCATTTTATTACACTTATATTTTTTATCAGGTGGTTTGCAACAGTTAATTCAAGAACACTGTGGCCGTAATATTCCATACATTCACTGTCTGAACCATCGACATGGCTTTGTGATAAGAGATACTTTGTCAAACATTTTAGAGTTAGGTGATTTCTTTCAACTGAATCAGGATTTATACATTTTCTTCAGAATCCCTCAGATTAATAAGCTGTATGAAGGTGATTCTTTAAAAAAGTTGATAACTACAAGATGGGATGGGCATTTATCAAGTTTCAAAGTTATTTCAAAATACGTTGAAGATGTTTATGCCACACTGGAGAAATGTGTAGTTTCAACGTCAGTAGATTCAGAATATCGTGCCAAAGCTAGGGGTTATTTATCATCCTTAAAACAGCCTGTTAGCATCTTTCTCATAGCATTTATGATGGATGTTTTATCTCTTCTGGATATCCTTAATAAGACTTTCCAGAAGTCTGATTGTGACTTACGAATATCACTTAGCATACTGAAATCCATTAGAGAAAACCTAGATGATCTGCGTCAGAAGTACACCATAGAGAGCATCACACATCTCATTTATCCTGAGTGGGCTGCTACGACAGTGATTGAACCCGGCGTTGGTAGTAAAAGAAAACGAACCATCCCAGATAAGTTTCAGGACTCGGTCTTGACAGATAAGCTTCCAATATATCGGGATATGAACAACAACTTGGAACAATTACGTGCATTAGCAGTTGAAGTACTTGACAATCTTGATGCTGAATTTGATAACCGTTTCAGTTAGTTCAATACAGAACTGTGGTTGTCCTTTGCAACGTTGGAACCATCCAAAGCCCCGTTTCTTGATGCTAATAAACTTAGATTTCTCCTGGACTTTATCAAAACTATTCCAGTAATAAGTCAGAAAGTTGAAGATCTCTCTTTTCATAAACTGAAAAGTAAATGTGACGTGTTTCGTAGTCCAGATGATCTTGATACGCGGAAAAGTACTGGCACTAGTTGTCAAATAGAAATCCATTTCGTGATTAAAACAACTGAATATCTCCTGTAATATACTCTATTTCGATTCCATATTTTTGTCAGAGCTATAGTTCTCATAACCAAACATAATTACAAAATTTCAACTAGTTTCATAAAGAATAACGAAAGATATAATTGACTGAATACATCAAAATGGATTTCTATTAGGACAACCCTTTCTGAGCGCTGATTGGCTAAAATACCAAGACGAGATCACCTGGGTGTAATACAGGATTTCAATGCCAGACAAGATAGTTTGACTGAGCTTGAATTCCAGAAGAAGAAAGTCGAGAATGATGCAAAAAGTAAGAAGACTGTAAAGGCAAACGTGAACAAAATGACACGGACAACAACATTTGTGTTAACACTGCATGGTGCTGAAATTTTGCAGCAAATGTATTTGGTTGAACAGTTCTTGATGAAGTGGAACACTAAACCTAGAAGATTAGCTGTGCCGTTGTAACTGGCAGTTGTTCAATTGAGAGTTGAGTTAAAGTTAAAAGTAATTGTTATGTTTCAAAGCATGTACTAGCAGTGATGTTAATACCCTCGTGTAAACATGCACCTTGCTGCATAGAACACTAAAATTATAACTATAAAATATGGAACTTTAATGACTTAAGCGAAATGTACATTGTTTTAATATTCTCATATCAGCGGAAAGTTGAAAAATCACATGTGTCGACAATTAATTTTACCCAGCACTGCATAGAATGCCTTGCGCGAACTTTGCGTCTCGAGTCACTGGCCCCACCTAGGTTTTTGCTGCCCCCCCTGACCGAAAATCCTGGCTACGCCTCTGTATGCATAGGGCACAAACAAGCAAAATTATAAAGCACAACAAACTTTACGCCAACCGAGTTTTGCTCGATGCTCAAATTTCAAAAGTCTACCAATATTCAATAGTTATAAATGTTTTGAAGTAGGAAAATCAAATTTATTGCGAAATCCCGCGAATTTTAGGATGTTTATGAGACTACAGCCTATAATGACAGCGGTTAAAACCATTGTAACGTAGCAACAGCTTTATAAAAGCAATGGCGGACAACAAATATAACTCTTGGTGCGACATTTGTGATATTTATGTTCAAAATATGGTGCATTTCTCATCACAATTGGACAAACGCCTCTCTACAAATACATGCAATTCATCGCTTTGGGGGACACACTAGTGTACACTTTTACGCTTCATACAAGTGACAATAATAAAAAGGAGTACTGTACGAAGCAATTCAGATATGCACATTTGACGATATCTGCAAAGAACGAGTTGAAATTGGACCTGCAAAATACCTAATATGTCGAAATCACATACTTTCCTATGCAGAGATTAAGGCAAAGATATTGATTGCTCGGGAACATACTTAGACAACTCGAGTTGTACCAATTTTTTTACGGATAAAAGTTGGACCGAATCGGTGAAGTTTTATATATGCACATTTTGGATTTTTCAACCGTGTTATATGTTGTGTTACATTTGTTTATATTACGATCGGACTGTTATCGGGACAAATCACCTTTCGGTGTATGGGATTTAAGATAAAAAGACAACAACAGTTGTTTTGAATACGGACTCGATATAGAGTAAAATATAGTTTGTAAACGGGTTGTTTTAAGTAAATAAAGTATCCAAGAGTTTAGTACAACAATGGCGACGAGTTCTACAGCTGCTACGGCTACAAAAGGACCCAAGCTAAAAGTTTTACCCTTCGATCCTCACGGAGATCGGTTAGACCTGGGGAAACGATGGGAAAAGTGGTTCGAACGATTTGAGAGAGACCTCAAGTATAACGGATGTGACCCTAGTAAAACACCAGAAATAGCCAAAATGGCGCTGTTAATATACGCAGGCACCGAGGTGGAAGACCTGCACGACACTCTGCCAGAACCAGGCAGACCAGAAGGCACAGAGGAAGAAAACTGGACCGCGTATGAGCAATCTAAAACCAAATTGAAAATACATTTTTCACCAAAACAGTGCAACGACTTTGCTATCTTTGAATTACTCCGAATGAAAATCGAATCGTCAGAAAGTATTACAAGTTATGCGATGAGGCTGCGTAAAGCAGCGAGCAAGTGCGATTTTACAAATTGGTCGGCGGAGAAAATGATCAAAAGCCTGATCATCAGCAATATGCAAGATGACACCCTTCGCCTAAAATTTTTACAGAAGGACAGAACACTGGACCAAATCTTAGATATCGCTAGAAAGAAGGAAGATGCTGTGGCCCGAAGTAAAGTAATAGACAGGGACTCGCGACAGGTAGTCAACAAGGTGGGTGCCAAACGAAATCAACCGTTACAACAGAAGGAGACCACAGACCAGTACAATCGGTGTGGACACGAGAACCATTTCCCTGCTTCGGAGTGCCCAGCCATATCCAGAATCTGCAATTACTGTAAAAAGAAAGGACACTATGCCAGCAAGTGCTTCAAGAAACAAAAGGAAGCAGGAATCAAACGCATCGAAGCAGAACCCCAAACTGACACCGGAACCGACACCAACTCCGACACTGATGAGTACGACACAGCCAAGATCGAATTAGTTAACAATCTTGGGATGAGGGAAAAGCCATCGCTGATGAGAGTCCGCACTAACGACCAAGATATTCTGTGGCAACCGGATACCGGGACCCAAAAAGACGTCTGGGATGAGGCACACTTCCGCAGCTTTAAAGAAAAGACTCGGGGGGAAGTAAAGTTGACACCGACAAACATCAAGCTATTTGCATATGGGGGCAAGACACCACTTGCGGTCATCGGTTCATTCAAGGCAGTGCTGACAGCTGGGGATCGGACAGTCGACACTGAGATATATGTGACATCTGAACCATCCGCCTATCCACTACTTTCCGAACAGTCAGCCAAACAGCTCCAATTGATCCGGTATAATGAGAAGTTCCTAGTAAAGCGAGTGTCTGAGCCCTGCAAGAAAGTTTTGGCAATGACTAGGCGCCAAAAGATAGCCGACATGATTATGGATAACCCCGAGGTGTTCACGGGTAAGATCGGCAAAGCCAAAACGAACGAGGTGTCCCTGATGATCGATGACAGTGTCACACCAGTAGTCCAGAAACAGAGACGGATACCAGTCAATCTCTCAGAACGGGCAGAAAGCAAGATCCAAGACCTCCTGGACCAAGACATCATAGAACCAGTTCCAGATAACCAGCCACGCAGTTGGGTCAGCCCTCCGGTGATTGCTCCCAAACCAGATTCCAACGACATTCGTTTTTGCATCGATATGCGCATGGCCAACAAAGCCATACAATGCCCGTATACTCAGATACCAACAATGGCTGATATTGTAAACAAATTTCAAGGAGCAGAACGCTTCACTAAACTGGACCTCAAAGAAGCATACCACCAGTTTGTCCTCGACGAACAGTCGCGTAACATCACCACTTTCTATGGCCCTGATGGCCTCTACCGCTACAAAAGGCTCAATTATGGAACCAAATCTGCCCAGGATATCCTCCAGTTGGAGATGCACAAGATGCTGTCCGGTATCCCAAGCCAGGTGAACATAGCGGATGATATCTTGATTGGCGGGTCAGTCGAAGAGCATGATGCAGCCCTGCAAAAAGTCCTGTCAGCCTTAACGAGTAATGGTATCACCGTGAATCCTGATAAGTGTGTCTTTGATGTAGAGGAGGTGCGATTCGTCGGGCTGGTGTTCAACAAGCAGGGCATAAAACCCGACCCAAAGAATGTAAAGAATCTACAAGATGCAAGTCAACCCACAAGTAAAGTGGAGCTGCGCTCCTTCCTCGGGATGGCAGGGTTCAGCGAACGTTTCATTCCGAACTTCGCGAGTATTGTCCACCCTCTGCGGCAACAGCTTAAGGAGAACATCTGGGCGTGGGACAAAATATGCCAAGAAGCATTCACCAAGTTGCAAGCCTCGTTAAGCGAATTTTCACTACTACACCATTATGTAATCGGACATGACACCGAACTAGTTGTAGACGCCAGTATCACGGGTCTGGGGGCAGTTCTTGTCCAGCGAGCATCGAAGACTGAGGCCTTCCACCCGG